CACAGCCAAAGGTAAGGAAATTGCAGATATTTACCAATTTCTGCAGTCTGAAATGGACCAAATATGCAATCAAGATGTGTTGATTATTAATAGTAATTGGAATGCATAAATTGGAACAAAGAAGACTCACCAGTAGTTGGAAAATATGGCCTTGGTGATAGAAATGATGCTGGAGATTGCATGACCAACAACTTATTTGTTGCAAGATGATTTTCAACAACATAAACAGTAGCTACCTAGATGCAACAATGGGTCTCTCCTCATCCAGAGCAAAGAAGAATGAAGAAAACCAAAGATTCATGGAAACAACTAGCCTAAGTGACTGGTAACCACGCGATCTGCAGCCTATATGACTATGAGATGAGAAGAACTAGATGGTGCCCAGCTACCACTATTAACCACTCAGAGGGGGATCTATATAGGAGATGCTGGATAGAGAGGGAGAACAATGTGGAACAAAACTCAAAATCATTTGGAAAAAAAAAGGGGGGGGGACAGGTTTGCTGGTCTGATAGAGCCTGGTGGAACCCCTGAGACTATGGCCCTTAGCTGCCCTTCAGGTCTGGAATTGAACCCACACCTGTGGCTTCCAGCCAAACAAAAGATAGACATATGAGTTGAACATGTACCTGAGGTAGATACACTTCTTGGAGAGAACAATCATGGGAGAAAGAAGGGTTGTTTATGCACAGGGAGACAACTCAGGAGGCAGGAGGGATGGACACAGGGAAGAGGTGTGTCTATCACATTGGGAGGAAGTGGGAAGGGAGCTGTTGCATTAGGAATAAGTTGTAGTCAATGTCATGAGACAAAGTGAATGTGAACTTCTGTATGGAAAGTGAATTTGCTCTGTAAATTTTCACCCAAATCACATTTAAAAAAAAAAAAGAGAGAGAGAAAAAAAAAATAAAAAAGAATTGCCAGACTTCATCTGATCTACTTTGGTCATGTTGTCAGAAGGGACCATGCTCTAGAAAAGGGTATCTTGCTTGCTAAAGTGGAGGGTCAGTGAAAGTAGGGAAGGCCCACAATGAGATGGATTGACACAGTGGCTAGAACAATGGGGTCAGGTATAACAAGAATTGTGAAGCTGGCAAAGGACCAGACAATGTTTAGTTCTATTGTACATAGAGTTGATGTGAGTTGGAGTTGACTCGATGGCACCTAAGAACAACACATAATTTTATTGATTATGCAAAGGCATTCAACTGTGTGGATCATATCAAAATATGGATAACATTGCAAAAAATAGGACTTCTGGAGCACTTGATTGTGCTCAAGAGGAACCTGTACATAGACAAGAGGCAGCCATCCAAAAAAGAACAAGGGGATATTGCATTGTTTAAAATCAGGAAAGGTGTGTGTCAGGGTTGCATCCTTTCGTCATACTTATTGCATCTGTATGCTAAGCAAATAATCCAAGAAACTGGATTGTATGAAGAGGAATGGGGCATTCGGATTGGAGGAAGACTTAGTAACCACCTGCAATATGTAGATGACACATCCTTGTTTGCTGACAGTGAAAATGACTTGAACAATTTACAGATGTATATAAAAGACCACAGCCTACAGTATGGATTTTAACTCAACATTAAAAAATTAGAAATCCTCACAACTAGGCCAATAATTAACATCATGATAAATGGAGAAAAAAAGTTACCAGGGATGTTGTTTTACTTAGATCCTCCATCAATGCCAATGGAAGCAGCAGTCAAAAAAAATCAACTGAGGTATTGCAATGGGCAAATCTGTTGCAAAAGATGTCTTTAAAATGTTAAAGAGCAAAGATGTCACTTTGAAGACTAAGGTGTGCCTGACTCAAGCCATTGTGTTTTCAGTTGCCTCATATGCATGTGAGAGCTGGACAATGAATAAAGGAAACTGCAGAAGAACTGAAGGATTTGAATTGTGGTATTGGCAAAGAATATTGAATGTACCATGGACTGCCAGAAGAATGGCTGCTTGGAGGAAGTACAGCTGGAAGACTCCTTAGAAGCAAGAATAGCCAGACTTCATCTCACATACTTTGATCATGTTATCAGAAGGGTCTAGTCCCTGGAGAATGATATCTGCATGGTACCATAGAGGGTCAAGGAAAATGGAATGACCCTGAATGAGATGGATTGGCAGAGTGGCTGCAGCGATGGGCTCAAGCATAGCAAGAATTGTGAGGATGGCGCAGGACCTGGCAGGGTTTCATTCTGTTTTACATGGGGTCACTGAGTGAGAACGGATGACAGCACCTAACCACCACCACCACCACCACCACATTTTGTAATTCAATATAGCTGGAGTTTGGGAAGGTGGATGAGGGAACATGAAGCTGAGTAGATTAATGGGTTTTGCAGGTCATCTAAAAGTTGTTTCCTGAACTTTATGGAACTATATTAAATTATTTTAAGTACCATTTGACATGATAATGTTTAATTGAGAGAAGATATTCTAGTTGCATAAGAGGATGGCTTGAGGAGATGGGATCAGTCTGAAGGCAGAGAGATTAATTAGGAGGCAGTCATTGTAACCCAAGTCTCAATGAAAGCACTGAACAATTAGAAATGATAAAGGCAGAAGTAACTGCATACAATTGATTGGATGTAGTGACTGAGGGATTAAATTGGACTCTTCATTTCTAATTTAGGTCACTGGGTGGTTCATGGTGGCTCATTGAAATATAGAAAATACATGAAGTCGTAGATTTGTAGTTGGGTAGAGCTGTTGGTTGGAGGTAGAATGAAAATGGTTAAGTTTTGGATGTGTTATTTTTCCAAGTAGAGATAGCTAGTAGGTGGTTTGGTATAAAGGTACGGAGCTCAGAAACTGGATCAAAGCTGGAGGTAAAAATAGAAGTTGATATGTACAAATTTGAAGATCACCTAGAGAAAGTATGTGGAGTGAGCAAAGGAATGAACTTGGACCTTTAGTGTTCCCTGTTGGACAATCTACTTCCATAGTGATACTGCCCCGGAAACCCAAGGAGGGGTCACTATGAGTCGGATCCGACTCGACGACTTGACAGTAGTTGACTTTTATTAGTTTGAGATTAGGAAGAGGAAGAAGATTTTGCAAAAGTTATGGAGAAGATAAAAGGTTAAAGTGAATGGTCTGTAATTCTTTGGGATTGAGGGAGTCATTTTTTGTAGGATAGTTATGAGCTTAAGTATATATTGAACAGAAAGAGTGTTAGTGTAGGAGAAGTTATACATAAAGTGAAAAAGAATGATAGATACTTCAGAAAGTATTCCAGTAAGTCAAATTTTCTGTGTCTTTAAAATGTGTCTGTTCTTTTCAGAAACAAAAACAAAAATGGGAATGAGGGTTTTTTGGAAGTAAAATTCTGTAAAACCACTTCTCTTATTTCTGCCACAGAATGTTGAGCAAATTTTACTTTTTCTTGGTATATCCATTAATTATGGGCATAAAACATTTCATAACAAGTAACCACAAAATTTTACCAGTATAAAGCAATCACCAGTGATTTCCATGTATCTGCAGAATGTTAGGTAGTAGGCTGATCTAGGATGGCCATGACAGGGACATTGCTCTGACACATGTATCCTGCTTCTTTGGGGGTCTGGTCTGGAAACGTTCATTATGGGTGCCTGGCTGAGGAAGTAATGGCTGTACCTGGGAGGCTCTTCTCTTGGAGAAGGTGGAGTTGCAAGAGGACAAGCCCCCTCATACAGTGCTTTTCAAGTCTCTGCTTGTGTCATGTCTACTCTCCTTGCATTAGCTAAAGGAACAGAATGAGCCCAGAATCAAACGAAGTATCCTCCACTCATGGAACTTGGGGTTTAAGAAAGAGATGATGTTATTTTTGGTGAAAGTAGGGGCAATGGGAATGGAATAAACAACTTTTCTGAATAAACATCAAATTTGTCACACCTGGAGACTCAGAATTATTATATTAGTCTTTTCTTGTGCTACTCTGTAAGGTGGTAATAATCAGTATTATTGAGATATGTAGGGTCATTGGAGCCTTATTAAATGATCTCTCCCCCGCTCCCTTCTGTATCTATTATTTTTTAATGTTACCATTATATATATAACTGCTTTTAATATACTGCTTCATTTCATACAGGACTCTTTTAGTGAAAACCCCAAGGTGATGGCTGTTGGATAGGATTTTTTCTTCTTGCTATTATTTATTTTTTTCTTGTTGTTTTGCATTATTGTAATGTTTGGGAATCTGTTTTGGGGACAAATGAGCCACTACTCTATTGCACATTTCATTGTAATTCCTCCTCCTAACAAATTGGCTGTTCAAAGTTGTTGTTTTTAATGGGTTATATTTCCTTAAATAGTATCTCTGTGTATCTACATGTTGTCTTATTTTCAAAGAAGGACATGATGAAGTAAGAGATGAAAAGATTGAATTGCAAAACATTCTTTTCAGAATTAATTAATATTGTATGTACGTGTCCATTCTTTATTCATATTATGAAGCATTTCAAAGATACACAAAAGAGCTTATCTATTCTTTATGGGACTTGAGACAACACTTTTAACTGAAACTGAAATGATATACTTAGGTATTCCATGGAAGAGCTAATTTTCCAAGAGGTTTGTCATTTTATAGTGGATCACTAGATTTCAATCATACATCTGTTATTTGCCTTATCACCCCAATGCCTGAGTGCTGCACTTAGATACAATGATGTCATTAACATAAAGTAGGTAACTTTGGTGGGCTATCCTCTGGTCTCATTCTAAACAATAAAATCCATGAAGTTGTCAGTTTGAATATGCTAGAAATAATTTTTTTGTACACATCAAAATAGATACATATATATTAAAATAGAGATGTTCACTTGTGTACCATCTTAAATATCGATATTTAAAATACCTATATGTATAGCATACAACCATAATTACCTGGCATAGCATACACTGGGAAGTACTGTCATAAGACCACTCTAACAAACAAAAAATATAGGAACCTAGTGAAGATACAGTCTGTTTTGAAAAGAGTCATTCACTTTCATGATCTACTTGTTTTTCAGGTTTGTGGAAGGAATGCTTAACATTTGTTACAATGCCATCGATCGTCATATTGAAAATGGTAAAGGGGACAAGATTGCTATCATCTATGACAGTCCAGTTACAAATACTAAAGCAACTATTACCTATAAAGAAGTCTTAGAGCAGGTAACATCATAAACTTTATGTATATTATTTGAAAATCATATTAAATTATATAAGTGACTTAAATTCTTATTGTATACAATTTAATTATATTAGTTCAGTGACATTTGTTAACATGCTTTTCTTTTAATGCACATTGAAAATGAATGCAGATATAACTCTTTCAGATGTTTTTATTCCTTTAATTTATACTCCTGAGCATTGAAATTAATTCAGTTTACAAGGGGCAATTATCAAATCTCTCATTGTTGTTTTTAGGTGCCATCAAGTCAGTGCTGACCCATAGTAACTTTATGTACAACTTATATACAACAAAACAGAACACAGCCTGGTCCTGCACCGTCCTCACAATCTTTGCTGTTTGAGCCCATTTTGCAGCCACTGTGTCAATCTATTTCATTGAGGTTGTCATCTTTTTTGCTGACTCTCTACTTTACCAATCATGATGTCCTTCTCCAGGGACTGGTCCCTCCTGCTAATAAATCCAAAATAGGTGAGATGAAGTCTTACCATTCTCCCTTCTAAGGAGACTGTTGGCTGTACTTCTCCCAAGACAAAATTGTTTGTTCTTCTGGAAGTCCATAGTATATTCAATATTCTTTGTCAGCACCGTTCTTTGATGCCATTGAAATGCAATATTCTTCAGTCTTTCTTATTCATTGTCCAGCTTTCTAATGCATATGAGATGATTGAAAATACCATGCCCTGGGTCAGGTGCACCTTAATCCTTCAAGTGACATCTTTCCCTTTTAACATTTTAAAGAAGTCTTTTGCATCAGATTTTCCCAATCAATATGTTGTTTGAGTTCTTCACTGCTGTTTCCATGGGCATTGAGTGTGGATTCAAGTAAAATGAAGTCCTTGAGAACTTCAATGTTTTCTCCATTTATCATGATGTTGCTTATTGGTCCTGTTGTGAAGATTTTCATTTTCTTCATGTTGAGTTGTAATCCATAGTGAACATATTAGTCTTTGATTTCATCAGTAAGTGTTTCAAGTTCTTTGCTTTCAGCAAGCAACATTGTGTCATATACATTTCACAGGTTGTTAACTAGTTTTCCTCCAATCCTGATGCAGCATGCTTCTTCATACAGTCCAGCTTCTCCAATTATTTGCTCAAAATACAGATTGAGTAAGTATGGTGAAAGGTTACAATCGTGATGCACATATCCCCTTGTTCTATTTGAACAACTGCCACTTACTTTATGTACTGGGTCCTCATCAACACAATTAAATGTTCTGAAATTCCCATTCTTTGCAACGTTATCCATAATTTTTTATGATCCACCCAGTAGAACCCTTTTGCATAGTCAGTAAAAAACAGGTAAACATCTTTCTGGTATTCTCTGCTTTCAGCAAAGATCCATGTGACTTCGGCAATGATATCCCTCATTCCACATCGTCTTTTGAATCTGGCTTGAATTTCTGGCAACCATTTTTGAATTATATCGTAGTGCCTAAGGCATTTGACCACTAACCAGAAGGCTGGCATTTCAAACTCACTAGCCACTCCACGGAAGGAAGGTTTGGCAATCTACTTCTGGAGTGATACATCCTCGGAAACCCAAGAAGGGATCGCTATGAGTCGGATCTGACTCGACGGCAGTGAGTTTAGAGTTACGGTATTGTTCAATAATTTCTTCATTCTGTTGGATCACCTTTCTCTGGAATGGGCACCAATAGGGATCTCTTCCTGTTACTTGGCCAGGTATCTGTCTTCCAAATTTCTTGGCATAGACAAGTGAGTGCTTTCAGCAGTGCATACATTCGTTGAAATACAACAATTGGTATTCCATCAATTGCTGGAGGCTTGATTTTCCAGATGCCTTCAGTGCAACTTGAACTTCTTTCTTCAGTGTCATCAGTTCTTGATCATATGCTACCTCCTGAAATGGTTCCCCATTAATCAATTCTTTTTGGTACATTGACTTTGTATATTCCTTCCATCTTCCCTTGATACTTCTTGCATCATTCAATGTTTTGCCCATAGAATCTTTCAGTATTTCAACTTTTCTTTAGTTCTTTCAGCTTGAGAAATGAGTGTGTTGTTTCCTTTTGGTTTTCTAATTCCAGGTTTTTGCACATTTCATTATAATACATTACTTTGTCTTCTTGAAACAGCCTTTAAACCTTCTCTTCAGCTGTTTTTACTTCATCATTTTTTCTATTTGCTTTACGTACTCTACAAGCAAGTTTCTTCTGACATCCATTTTGGCCTTTTCTTTGTGTCTTTTTTAATGACTTTTTGCTTTCTTCATGTATGTTGTTCTTGATGTCATCCCATAACTCTTCTGGTCTTCAATCATTAATATTCAGTGCATCAAATCCAGTCTTCAGATGGTCTCTAAAATCAAGGTCGTACTTTGGTTCTCTTGGACTTGTTTTAATTTTCTTCAGCTTCAACTTGAAATTGCTTAGGAGGATGTTTTGCTCTGTAGTTGGCCATTGGCCTTGTTCTGACTGATACTATTCATCTTTCCTATCACCTCTTTGGACAGATTTGATGCCTATGTACTCCATCTGGTGAGGTTTAAGTATTTAGCCACCATTTATGTTGAAAATAGGTGTTTGCAATGACTAAGTCCTTAATGAATAAATATCTAATAGTATAATTTAGTCTTCCCTACCCTTTGCTTTCTATCCACACTGGAGTACTCTCTAGCTGTTCCTCATCTTAAACTACTATTTCTATATAAGGACTATAGTTTCTTAACCGCCTTCCTTGTTTCCAGTCTCACCTCATGTTAGATCATTTCCTGATGTGATACTAGCTAGTGTTTTCTTCCTAAGAAACAACACATTTCTTTATCCTACTTAAAAATCTCTTCCTTAAATATTGCTATTATTCAGGGACTAAAATGCATACTCTCTTTATGTAAAAGACATAGTATTTTGGTGTTTGGCCACATTCTCCTTTCCAAGTTTCATTTTCCCCACATTCTTGACTACGTACACTACTCGTTTGGACCTGGATGTCCTGTCATTTCCTCAGACATTGCTAGCTCTTCACAGCTCTTGCATATGCTTGTTCCTTTACATTGCTTGTTAATTTTTAGTTTCTTGCTTGTGTTTTTCTTAGCTGGGTCATAATAATGCCAGATGAGTTGTGAGATAATCTTCTCATAAAAGTAGGATAGAATTGAGATTTCAGAGCTAATTATAAAAGTATTTGGCCATGTGGACTGTGGGAGAGTTCTTCTAGCTCTGTGGGGTTATTTATTCAAAGGGAGTTATTAAGGCATAGAAAAAATAAGTCAAGAAGAAATTCAATAGTCTAAAGCAGAGTTTCTCAACCTTGACACTGTTGACAGTTTGGGCATATTATTCCTTACTGTGGGGGTTGTCATGTACATTGTAGGATGTTTAGCAGCATTACTGGTCCCTACTCACTGGATGCTGGGAGCACCCCTCCCCCAACCCAAGATGTGGCAACCAAAAATGTCTTCAAACATTGCTAAATGTTCCCTGAGGGGAAAATGCTCCTGGTTAAGAAATCACTGGTCTAGATTCAACATGCTAGGGTTTGGAAATATTTACTTTTAAATGAAAGTTTTTTCAGTTGCCTTCTGTGATAGTTGGAGCTGTGTGTCAACTTGGCTGGACCACAATTCTGTGTGGTTTAAGCAGTCGTGATGTTGGTTATTCTCATGTTGGGATTGGATGTATATGTTTTGAGCAGCCAATCCATTGAAAGGGAGTTTTCCTAGGGGTGTGGTCTGCTTCGAATATATTTATGGACATCCTGGGAAAAGAGACACTCTTCTGTGGATTGGGATCCTGTAGTTCGGCCTACAACTGTCTGTGAGTGAACAATCCACCATTCGGCCTGGGGATCTTGGATTTGTTATTCGGTGGTGTCGACAGCTGGTATACTGCCTGCCAACTTTGAGCTCATCAGCCCCTGCGGCTGTGTGAATTGGGAAAAGCCTCCAGCTTGACATTTGATCCAAGAACTTGGGACTTGCCAGCTTCTATAAGTGTGTGAGCCATTTTCCTAAGATAAATTTCTCTTTCTCTATATGTATATATGAGTTTTACTGGATTTGCTTCTCTAAAGAACCAAGCCTAACACATTTGGTACCAGAACTGGTTCTAGAGAGACAAAATCATAAGAATGGGCTTCCTAAATTGTTTCTCCGTGATTCTGTTTTGGTTCTCCAATTTGATTAATTGTAAAGGCACTGGTGACTCTGCCTCCATTAGTAAAGAGGGCCCTGCTAATCTGTGGTATGAGATGGCAACATTATTATGCAAAATAACACCACCAATAGATCAAATATTTTTGAGAAGTGAGGCTCTGGGTGATCACATATTTAATACTTTTCTGCAATTTTGTCAGTATGAGGAGTATAAGGAAGCTGGTTGGTTGGTCTTACTTACACTAGACAAAGTGGTGAAAGAGTGAGATGAGCACAGGGCTGCTGAGTCACAGCTCAAGCACCACATAAAAGATCTCAATGTTTCCAGTTGTGTTCTGAAAGAAAGCCTTATTTCTTCTGGTAAAAGAGTTGAAATTGCTGAAAATCAAACCCAGAGTCTTATTATAAGGGTAGCTGAATTACAATGCCAATTAAATTGCCAACCCAGAATGGTGTCTGAAGTTGATTGGGAAAAAAATGGGATCCTGAAACCTGCAATGGGGACAGATGGGCAGACAGGAAGATGAGGATATGGAGCCTGTAAATTCTGTTGAATGCCTCCTATTTGAGGGGATTGCTGTAAAACCATTATTCCTTCCACCTCAGTTTGATGGGTAAACCCAGCTGTTCCTGCTGGGTCATTGCTTGAGGTAGATACCATGGAAGACATTGCTGAATGTTCTCAGGAACTTCCCCAACCATCCATTGTTGCTGCTAGAGCTATAACTAAAGTTAAGTCCAAGTAAATCCCAAAAGGAGAAATACAGAGTGTGACTGAGGAAGTGGTACGTTAGACCTGAAAAAACCTACTTGATTTTGCTAACATGTATAGACAGACACCTGCAGAATGTGTACGGGAATGGC